CTGTAATAATGGAAAATGTCCTACCATAAATGTATTCGTGGAATCTCTTTACTGCTGAAACGATGGCGAGGGCTTCTTTGTCCAGCTGGCTATAGTTCCTCTCTGGCTTGGACAATGTTCTGGAAGAGAATGCAATGGGGGCTTCCGTTCCATTTGGTAAAACGTGGCTCAGGATGGCGCCAACCCCGAAAGGCGATGCATCACAAGTAACAGTCAGAGGTAGCGTTTCATTGTATTGCATGAGGACTGCGTCTGAAGTCAAAAGGTTTTTTATCTGGTGAAAAGTGTGCTCTTCTCGCCGTCCCCATATCCAGGAAGCCTTTTTATCAAGGAGTCTATGCAGAGGTTCAGCGACAGTTGCTTTCTGGGGTAAAAAAATGTTATAGAAATTAATGAGTCCGAGGAAGGCTTAGAAGTCCATTTTGTTCTTTGGTCTGGGGGCGTTTTTGATGACTTTCAATTTTTTATCTGTGGGGTGAATTCCTCATTTGTCAAGGAGGTAGCCAAGAAATTCAACCCTTTCAGTGCATAATTGGCACTTTTCCTTTTTCACCTTTAGGCCAGCGTCTTTGAATTTCTGTAGGACCGCCCTCAGTCATTTTTCCAATTGTTTTTTGGTAGGGGCTGCTACCAGAACGTCATCAAAATAGGGCACAACTCCTTTAATTCTCTGCAACCATCTCTCCATTCAACTTTGAAAAATGCCCGGTGCTACGCTGACCCCAAATTGGAGCCGGTTACATTTGAATGCCCCTCTATGTGTCACTATTGTTTGGGCTTTGGTGGTTTCAGCATCGACTGGCAGTTGTTGATAAGCTTGAGCCAGGTCGAGCTTTGCAAAGATCTTGCCACCCCCTAGTGAGTGCAGGAGATGGAGTACTGGCACCGGATAGGCGCTCTGCTACAATGCGTGGTTGAGGGTGGCCTTGTAGTCACCACAAATTCTCAGGGAGCCATCAGGTTTGATGGGGGTGACAATTGGGGTCTCCCAACGGGCATGATCGATGGGTTCTAACACGCCTTGCGCTATTAGTTTGTCTAATTGTTCGTCTATTTTAGGCTTGAGTGCAAAAGGCACTCGGCGCGGCTTGAGACGGATGGGAGCGATGTCAAGGCTGAGATTAAAGGAGATAGGAGACCCCTTGTACTTGCCTAGATGTTCACTGAAGACTTCTTGGAAGTCCTGGATGAGCGTTGCTTCCCAGTTTCCGTCTTCTGTGTGGTTGATACCTGCCATCTTGATCCCCAACGGTGCGAAACACTGCAACCCGAGTAGGCTGGGTCTGTCTTTATTGACGATTGTGAGTGGTAGGATGGTGGTGTGGTTTCTGAATGAGACTTGAAAATGTCCAGTGCCAACGACCGGAATGCGATTACCTTGATAGTCTCTTAATATTAGCTTCTGGTCACTAAGCTCTTGGTGGCGGATACTGGGAATTAGTCTTTTGATGGTCCTCCAGGAGACCATAGAGAGGGAGGAACTGGAGTCTACCTCCATGGTGCAAGGCTGATTCTCGATGTTGACCTCTACACGTATCTTTCGTGCGTCTATTGATGAAGCGTGGCCGATGGTGACTGTTTGGTGCATTTCTTCTCTTCTGGGTGCCTCAATGAACTTCCTGGGTCGGCTGTCCCGGTTCCATCGGCTGTCATTATGGCAGTCCCAGTTTATGATGGGGGTGCCATCTCTTCTTCTTGGGCTGTTTTCCTGTCGTCGGGGGCTGGAATTTCGTTTGTTACGGCATACTTTGGCAATATGCCCTCGTTTTTCGCAAAAATGGCAAACAGCGTCCAGGAACTTGCATTCGGAATGTGTGTGATTTCCTCCGCAGCCGGCACATTGGTAACTCGACTTACGACCGCGCCAGTCTCGTCGCTCGCATTCCGACTGAAGTCTGTGAATTTCTTCCTCTTTGCTGTCAGAGGGGGATTCGATGTCGCCGTGGTGGGTGGATGCTGCGTGTTTGTCTGCTGCGGTTGCCGTCTTGCTGGTGGGTTGGCAGTTGCTTCTGTTTGAACGTCGCATTCGTGCCACTGACTTACGGGTGGCCTCGGCTGCGGTGGCTTCGGCTACGGCATCGGCGAGGGAGATGTCTCTTTTAGCCATCAGTCTGCTTTGGAGAGTTGGGTCTTTCAGGCCAAGGATGACTCGGTCACGCATGGCCTCATCTAGATTGGCAAATCCACACAAGCCTCCTAGGTCCCTCAGGTCAGCTATGAGCTCTCCAATGCTCTCGCCCTCGTGCTGATCCCTCTGGTAAAAGTCATGCCGACGGATGAGAATCGGCACCGCCGGGGCATAGTGGTTCCGGAGGATGGGAGCTAGGGGATCCCAATCCATGGTCTTGACATCTGTTGGTTTCACGAGCGCCTTGGCCATTTTAAAAATGGCGGGTCCACAGTGTGTTAGAAAAATCGCTCGCTTCTTGCTGCCGGTGGCGTCCTTCAGGATGTTTGATTCCAAGAACATTTGGAAACGATCAATGTAGGACTCCCAGTCCTTGCTGGCCGGATTGAATGGTGCGGGTGGCACGGTGCTGCTGGCCATCTTGCAGGTCACCTATGCGCTCTCTGCGATGTGCTAGTCAGCTCTATTGTCTCAGTATCCCATCCTCGTCGCCAGTGTTAAGTCTGGGTGGTGGGTCCCAAGGAGAGATGAGACTCGAAGTAGTGACAACAGCTCTTTATTAGGAAACCAGATACCGAGACAAGACTCCCCAGGCAAGGCAGCTCCTTTTATAGAGCTGGCTGCAGCTAGGCAGCCTATGACAAGCATTTGAGCTTGCCGCGCTTGGTTTTACCCAATCGTGGCAGCCGAATAAGAACCAATCAGAACGCTTAGTTTTGTCCAATCACGGCCTGGCTTTTCCGGACCAATAGGAATGCAGGCCTACAAGCCTGCTAGTATGGAACAAATCCAACCCCTGTTTGCAGGAGGGAAGAGACCTTTCCCAAAGACAAGTCAGCTTGGAATCTTTGATATGCAGGAAGACAGTGAAGAAGGACCATATCTAGCCTTTCATAGGAGATACATATAGAGATTAGTGCTTTAGCCTGACGAGATTCCAGTCTATAAGTGAGCAAAAATAAATAAATATTCCTAAGTACTTTCTCTTGCCTTTGCTGGAGGAATGGAATAATTTAATAAAGGGCATGATTACATGTCTTTGTAAAATAGGGTTTTCTTCAGTTTTATAAATGCAAGATATTGTTCCAAGAAGTACTGTATAAACCATTAAGGAAACAGGAAGTCAAACGCTTATTTTCTAGCATTTAAAAAGTTTGTACAGCTACAGCTATGTGTGTGTGCGTGCGCGCGTGTGTGCATGTGCATGCTATGCTGTTGTTTTTATGTACAAAATAAATTATTATTATTCAGAGTTTTCAGTGTTAAGAATGCAAGTGGTGTTCTTTTTCTTTCTGAAGAATTGGAAGCACCGCCTGAAAAGCTGAACTGTTGTTTGATTTGTTTGGTATTACTATTGCAACACAAAGTTTACAAAACTCTCATAAAGTTCTCAGGAAGACCCTTTTTTAGCTATCAAGGTCAAATTCTTGTTTCAGTAATATTTCCTCCTCACTAGTTCCCTAACAAAAAGCAAAGTAACCAAGAAAAAGGAAGAAGGGATGATAGTTGCTTGGACAAATCAGCTGAAATAGCCAAACTTCTGTATTGAATTTTTGTGGTTGGGATTTGGGAGGTTATCTGAAGAGCTATGAAGGGCTGGCCCTTCCTGATAGTTGCATTTCTTCTCTGGCCAGGTTTCTCTTCTCAAAATAGTAAGTTAAGACAAAGATAAATCAAGGGGTTACTAAGAAAAACAGTTTCTGCTGCATTCATTAAAGGCCCAGTTACTTGTAACAAAAACAAAGAGTTCAATTTTTCATTTGTGGCTTTCTGATAATTTGTAATGCCAGATTCTTTAAGAACATTTAACATTTATTATACATTTATAATTCCAATCCCCTTTTCAAATACAACATTTTTCAGCAACTGATTTGTAAATAGCAAAATACTTTGTATCATTATAAATTCACTCCCATCTTGAGGAACTTTTTTCAATTAATAAAGAACTTGAAGGTCTTCTAGTTCAATCCCTTGTTCATGCAGGAAATCTTATACCATTTCAGAAAAAAAAGCTTTTTTTGTTATTTTAACCCTAAACTTGGTCTCTACCTTTTGGGAGACAAAGTTATCTGCTAGATTTGTCAGGAATCTGTTTGATCTTCCACTAGGTTTGTATCCCAGTTGATGTCAGAGTAGTTAAAGTCTATAGTATACACCTATGTTAATGTCATTATTTTTTCCTTTTATATTGATCCAAATGCATTCAAGATGTTTTTAACGATTATTCTGTTGTATTTTTGTTGAGCTATAGATGTTTCTTATATATAGCACAACTCCACCTCCTTTCATTAGGTCTCTTTCTTTTAAATAATTTAAATCCCTCTAGTTGTATATTCCATTCATGGGTTTCATTCTACCAAAATAGATATGTCAGGTATCAAATGTAATTTATTTAGCTATCAAATTTCTACACTATCCTTTTCATCTGAGTCATTCTGGGTGATTTACAATAAAAATGTTAAGACATAGAAGAATATGAAAATGTTTTCCATAGCCAATAATTTTTCATAAAAGTCATGTTTGATAATTATAACATTAGCTGCTGCTACTGAAGACTCTGGGAAGATTCAGAATTTATCAACACTGGAATGTAAGTGGTGTTCTTTTTTTTTCTGAAGAATTGGAAGCACTGAAAAGCTGAACTGTTGTTTGATTTGTTTGTTATCATCATTGCAACACAAAGTTCACAAAGTTCTCATAAAGTTCTCAGGAAGCCCCTTTTTAGTTATCAAGGTCAAACTAATATTTGAGTAATATTTCCTCCTCACTAGTTCCCAACAAAAAGCAAAGCAAAAAGAGAAAGGAATAATAGTAGCTCAGAGAAATCAGGTGAAATAGCTAAACTGCTGAACTGAATTGTTGTGGTTGGGACATTGCCTGAAAAGCAATGAAAGGCTGGCTGCTTCTGGCTGTTGCTTTTCTTCTTTGGCCAGGCTGCTCTTCTCAAAATGGTAAGTTAAGAAAAGAAATCAAGGGGTTACTAAGAAAAACAGTTTCTGCTGCATTCATTAAAGGCCCAGTTACTTTTAGCCAAGAGTTCAATTTTTCATTTGTGGCTTTCTGGACATTTGTAATACCAGATTCTTTAAGAATATCATGGATTTATAATCCCAATCCCCTTTTCAAATGCAAGATTTTTCAGCAGTTGATTTGTGGATAGAAAAATACTTTGCATCAATATTCATGCCTATTTTGAGGCTCTTTGTTTCAGTTAATAAAGAACTTGATATGATAATAACCAAGTGATTTCCATGTGTAAGATGAGGCTTCATAAGTCAGAGTGATTGAAAGTATAGAGATGTATTTCAGTTGGGTTTATATCAGGATAAATAGAAAGAAATTAGTGGATGTCTAAATTCACAATGATTATATCCTTCATGAGAAGACAAGGAGGATAATGTTGATTTCACAAGATACTGAAGCTAAGACTATATTTGCTGATATTCATATTAATAGCCATACTTTTGAGCCAATCATATATTTATCATTGTTTTTGATGGTTGCAAAAGTCATTCATGAAGGAAAAGAAAGAGGAAAACTGGCCTCAATCAACAGAGAGCATAGAAAGTATTCCTTTCCCAATAATTGTAAAATTAATTAGTAACTCATTGGCATAAGCAGTTGTGAATGTTACCCAATTCCAGGCTCTTTCAAAATCACTAGCTGAAGGGTTAGAGGCAATTATTCTACAATTATTATCTTCCCGATTCTGCCCAGCAAGGCTGATTTGAAATGTATATTTGCTTTCTTTATGCAGTATAATATTTGTGGGTCTATGTGTGTCTACTCTCCCACTATTGTATTCTCTTTGAGCCCTATTAAGTTCCACATCTCTAAAAAAAGAAAAGAAAAAAAACCAAGGGAAGAACAAGATGAGAGAGTTAAGAAATACAGAATAAATTCTCAGCTGACAGCATTTAGGCCTGATAAAAACAAAAAAGCTACAGATAATGTGTACTGAGAAATTAATATCAAGGCCTATACTAGTAAGCAATGGTTTATTTTTTCTAGGAAAGGAACTGTTGGCAGCATTAAAAATTTTGTTCAGATATTGCTGATGAAAGAGGAAAGGGTGATTACAATTGAGAAAGGTTTAGTCATAGAAATCCAATACATAAAACTGTCAGAAAGATTTCTCCAGGACCACCCAGTGTAAGTCAAAGCACTGGCAAGGACGAAATTCCACAGAATTGCATTCAAAGGAATGCTTTTGGTGGGGCAATTTCAATAGCCTTTCAACCTCTCTACCTTCCTATCCCCAGATTTGTTTAGGTTAGGCAAGGGAAGTTTGCTTATTGTAGGTAGTCCTTGAGTTATGACCCATTTGGAGCCAACTCATCATGATCATAACTTGTTACGGTCTTAAAGTGACTGACCCAATTGTATGACCTTTTTTGTACTGGTCATTAAGTAAATTACCATCGTTGTTAAGCAAATCCATAGTTGTTACGAGAAACAATGATTCGCTATGGGCAGAGGAATGATAAAACTGCAAGTAAATACTATTTTTTGGCAAAAGTGACATAAAACAGGGTAATGTGACTGCAGGACACTATAAATGACCTAAATGCACTCTAAATGCACCTCAATGAAAAAAAATCATATCGTCCGCAAACGCTTGCAACTTATATTCTTCTTTCTTAACCTTTAATCCTTTTATATCTGGGTTCTGTTTAATTCACATTAATAATGATTCTAATGATAATATGAATCGCAGGGGTGAGAGTGGGCAGCCCTGTCTGACTCCTTTTTCTATTTTTATTGGGTGGGTATATTCCCCATTTATTATAATATTAGCTTGTTGTGTATCATAAATAGTTCTTATAATATTTTCAAATTTGGTGCCTAGATTCATATTATAAATTTTTTGGATTAAAAATTGCCAATTTAAATTGTTGAAGGCCTTCTCTGCATCTAAAAACATAAGTGCAATTTGTTTTTCGGGGTGAGCTTCATAAAATTCTAAGACATCTATTACTGTTCTTAAATTGTTCCTGATTTGTCTGGTCGGGAGAAATCCATTTTGGTCTTTATGTATATGCGCGTTTAGCATTCTTTTTAATCTGCTTGCTATAATAGAAGTAAATATTTCGTAGTCGGTGTTAGACAGAATTAGACAGAACCCAGACATAAAAGGATTAAAGGTTAAGAAAGAAGAATGTAAGTTGCAAGCATTTGTGGATGATATGATTTTTTTCATTGAGGAACCAATAGAAAGAGGACAAAAATTGATGAATGAATTAGAACAATTTGGAGCAGTAGCAGGACTTAAAATTAATAGGAAGAAAACTAAATTAATGACTAAAAATTTAACAGAAAAACAGAAAATAGAGTTAGAAGAAGTTATGGAAATACAAGTGACAAAGAAAGTTAAATACTTAGGAATATGGTTGACAGCACATTTTAAGACACTCAGGGAAAATACTTATGATAAATTGATGCAACAGGTAAAGAAGGATTTAGAATCATGGGGTAAGCTGCAACTTTCATTATTAGGCAGGATCGCTGCCACTAAAATGAATATTCTTCCAAAATTTCTATATCTATTTCAGACGATCCCAATTAAACTACACAAAAAATTCTTTGAAGAACTCAACAAAATAACTGTTAAATTTATTTGGCAAGGAAAAAAACCTAGAATAAATTTAAAGGCAATGCAGGATATGAAGAGCCGGGGAGGACTGGCACTGCCAAATTGGGAGTTGCATTATATTGCTGCCTCTTTAGTATGGTTGAAGGAATCGGTGAATTTAACTAACAAGAGAATATTATTTTTAGAAGGCCATGATTTGCAGAGGGGGTGGCATGCTTTTTTATGGGATGTAGGGAAAACTAGTCAAAAATATTTCCACAGACATCTAATCAGAGACTCATTATTAACTAATTGGAAGAAAATATGGAAAAAACACTGTATAGAAGTACCAATCTGGATTTCAACAATGGAGGCGATGATTCACCCAAATAATCTGGATATCACTAAAATGATTAAATAGAAGGATCTATTGGATACATAAGGAAATTTGAAATCAAGGCAAGAACTTCAAGAGCGAGGACAAAAAATTGATCAGTGGGCATACCTTCAAATTCAAAGTACATACAAACAGGACAAAAAAGAATTTGTAATCAACAATAAACTCCAGCAATTAGACAAATTTTTACTAGGATCAGGCAAAAAAAAATATAACAAAATTTTATAATTATTTATTAGAAGTCAAATTAGAAGAAGAAATTGTAAAAGGGAACATGATTGCCTGGAGTAGGAATGTAAGACGTAGCATCACCTTAACAGAATGGGAAAAGGTCTGGGGTAGAAACAATAAGATTACAAAATTGGTAGCATATAAAGAAAATGCCTATAAAATGTTTTATAGATGGCACCTTCCTCCTTCGAGGTTAGCAAAGATGCACCCCAATATGAGTCCAAATTGTTGGAAATGCAAAAAAAAAAGAAGGAACTTTTTTCCATATGTGGTGGTCCTGTACAGAAGCTCAAAAATATTGGCAGAAAATTAAAATTTGGCTGGAAGAAATGACAAAAGAGCAGATCAAATACAAACCAGAGTCCTTTTTGTTAGGGATCTTTAATAAAGAATTACCAAAATATCAAAAAAAGCAAAATACATAATAATACACATTTTGACAGCAGCCAGACTAGCCTTTACCCAATGCTGGAACCAGCCTCAGGTTCCATCAGAGGAAATAATCATTCAAAAAAATCTCAAGTTGTGCAGAAATGGACAAACTAACTTTGGCACTAAAAAATAAAGACCTCAATATACTACAATAGCTGGAACTGCTGGTACAAATGGATTGAACAAAAATAGATTTTACACTATAAGGTAAAAGAGGATAGGATAAACCCATAGCAGTGATATACAGATATATGTAAAGATTAGGTGTGGGTATATGGCATAAATTAAGGGTTATTTTTTTTAAAAAAAGAGAGATCTTACAAACTGTTGAAGATGAGAATGTTTTTAATTGCTTTCTATTTTTTCTTTCTATTTTCTTCTCCTTCTTTTCTTTTCTTTCATTTGTGTATGTGTAGTTGGTTTGTTTTAATTGTATAATTAATAAAATTTATTTATAAAAAAAATGACTCTAAATGCAATAAAGTTGCCCAATGTCCAAATTGTGGTCGTGTCACCATTGGGGTGGGCAACTGTCAGAACTTCAAATCCAAGTTGTAAATATCCCCTTTGGAACTTTGACTGTCACTACGCAATGAGTCAAGTACTACCTGTAGCTTGGATTAAGTGTGCAGCAGGTATTGATATACTAGTTTAGACAAAAGTGGGAACTAATTATCTAGGAGGGAAATTTGTTATCTCACACCTCATAAGAGTAGATAAGAAGAGCAAGGTTGTCGAAGCAGGTGAGATAATTTAATGTAAATATAATTTCAGAATGTGAAGAACCAAATGAGATTGACTTTGGGGAAATTGTGAGCATTGAGAAAGCCAAGTACCTGCAAAATGACCGAGTACAATACAGGTGCAACCCTGGCTATGTCTTGGAAGGACCTGAATGGATTCAGTGTAAGGGACAAGAATGGACACCTCATCCACCAAAATGCTTGGGTAAGCCATCATGCTTTCTTTGACTAGTGCAGACCTGGGAGAAAATGCAGAATTTGTGCAAGCAAATAAGTTGATATAGTGAGTGGTTTGAACTTTAACTTTGCTGTTGCTTAACCTGTCAACAGTTCTTATTTCATTTATGTAATGCATGACAGATCAATTGGATTGCAAATAGATGTACAAGCTTATAAATTCTGGACTTGCTTTGTAAGGGTGGAATTATTATTGTTGCAATAGATTTGTCAGTGTTCAACTAGGGGGGGATAGAATATGTACTTTTGACCTTTTTTAATTCACATTTTAAATGTTTTTGTCTAGTTTAGTTTTGTCTCTGTTTATTTTTTTCTTTTGAATTTTATATTTTAACCTTTTGAATAAAATAAAATTGTAAAATAATGAAATCAAGGGAAGCAATCTTCATCATATTTCCATAGACTTTGGAATACTCCAGCTGTCTGAAATTCTGTTCCATTACAACTCAGTCAACTCAAAATGTCTTCGCAAAAGATTCTGAGTTGAGCTGTCTGTTCTTAGCTTGAAATAAACAAGACCATCTGTTTGTACATACTTCTACAAGCCAGTCTTCTGTGATACGTCTAAAATCTATTGCTGAATCATAACTTGTTCATCAATAATACTGTGCTCTAACTTGGTTTATTTGATTTTAGCCTGGAACTGTCAGTTGTGATTTGCAAACCAGGCCGATTTTCTTGGTAGTGAAACTGAGGGAAACCAATGGATAAATTATCTCCCTTGAGAAGATCTACCTTCTTTTCTCTTTTTTAGCACCCTGCAGTATCACAAGACAACAGTTAGCAGCAAAAAACTTGTTTTTGTTTGGGAATCAAAGAAAAGCTCAGCTTATTCAAAGTAACCAGAACCTACAATTTCAGTGTAATGAAGGATATGTGCTTGTGGTTCCATCAGTCAGAAAGTGTGTTGACGGTTACATGGATTTCCCATTATGTATCTCTGGTAAGCTTGCTGTCAATATGATGGATTCCTCTGGGATCATAACTGATTAAAACAATTATGATAACATAACAAATATGGACATTTGCTTCTAAACTCCCATTCTTTTAAAAATGATTTCATCTTCCCTGAAATAATTCACATCTTGTCTTGGAATTTTAATAGTTGTAATCTAAAACAAAACAACTGAAGCATATTTTTCCAAACATCTGAATTGTTTCTACAGTTTAGTCCAAAATCTTGAACTTTAGCTAACAACTATGACTCCATAGTGGTTGAAAATATGCATAAAATTGGTAGGCAAAAAATATGTTTCAAAAATTACAAAGGTTGTATAAAGTATACTTGATGTCATATCATTAAAAGAGTCCCATATTGTCCCTGATGAAAAATCTCTTTTGTTTGAAATTGCTTGGATGAATTCATCATATGGTCAATGTTAATATTGAACTGATTATGATTTTATTTAATAAATCCATAGGTCCAGAATATTTAGGTGATGAAGGATATTTTATTATTCTTTGTTTGTAGACATCTAATTTTCAGATCATTATGATAATTTTTATAGCTCTTCAAAAATTAGTTCAGAAGATATTTTTTAAAATTGTCCCTTCATCTTTTATATGTAGGAGGAAGCCTAAATCTTGGGCATTTTCAACTTGGTATAAATTTCCCCTAAAAGAAATATTTATAAAATAATCAGAAACTATGTAAATTGAATATGCAGATAAATTGTTAGCATATTGTTTAAAACAAGTGAAACAACAAAATATAAAGTTTGAAATATCTACACATGAGGGCCTGAGAATTACAGATCCTGAGTGTATTAATTTTCTTTTTTCCAATGGAATGAGCAAGCATATAATACTGATGTTACTATGCAGTTATTTTATCATCTCTATCTGTGTCTAATTATTATTTTAACGGAATATTATCCTTTTTGGTCTTTAATAGAGAGTGATTATGTCTTGTGAGGTAGACCAGAGAGGATGTGTGGTTAGAGTAGCTAATTCTAATTTTCTATAGAGTTAATTAATAGAATTCTGCAATCCTAAAGTAGATTCCTTCCCCCTGTGCCTTTGAATCTGGGAGGGTCTTTTCTGAACTGCTTTCCCTGTCTATTCCGAGAGTGGGTTACCTTTTATCTGACAGTTCCCTTGGCTGCATTTGTTTTTCTTTCTCCCAATGTCATTTCTACATACAATTACATCATATATTACTGTCAAGATCTGGGTCAACATAGAGCAAAAAGAATATGAATGAAGAGGGGGGAGGGGAGAGAGAGAAATAGAGAAAAGTAGATTGTGAACAGTTGGGTACATTGTACCAAAGGTGCTTTTTCAAAAGACTATTGGACTTTCTTTGTTTTTCCTTGAAGACGTTTCATATCCTATCCAAGAAGCTTCTTCAGTTCAGAAAGAGGGTACATTGTAGTTCTGTTGAGATGTAGCATGTGTTCTGATGCTGAAGTTTCATAAATACTTAACTTGCTTATGAAATAATTCCATTTGAATTATTACCTGATTTTGTGAGGAAAAAATGAGCCAAATCTGTAATAATTTTAAGCCAATTTCTTTCTTTGTAATTATTATTTTAAGGAATTTCATCCACTTGAGCTATCATTTCCTATTGGTTTTTTGTTCTCTGTTTAATAGAAAGAGGACAAAGCTGCGGGGATCCACCCAGGATTGAGAATGGAGACATTATTCCTTTATCTGAGCAGCAGTACAGATCTGGCTCTTCAGTAGAATTCAGATGCCAAGAGTATTATGCCATGGAAGGTCAGAACAGATCTTTCTGTGACAATGGGGCCTGGACAAAACTGCCTGTTTGCCTCGGTAAGCAGAATTGAAAAAGAGAGTCGTGCAATGAAAGACATACCCTTTGGCCATTTCATGGTTCAATTAGTGCAAAAACTGCACACTGCACCCTTGATAATTTTCCCCAAAAGACTGCTCTTTCATTAATGTAGAGTAATATATCCATAGAGCAGGGGTGGAATTCAAATTTTTTAACAACCGGTTCTGTGAGTGTGGCTTATGTGGTGGGTGTGGCTTGGTGGTCATGTAACTGGGTAGACATGGCTTGGTGGTTATGTTATTGGCTGGGTGTGGCCAACTCAATATCACTCACATCGAGGCATGCATCTCCTCGCCTGGCCTCTCATGACTGTGTGGATGTTGCAACAGTCGTAAGTGTGAAAAATGGTCATAAATCACTTTTTTCAGTGCCATTGTAACTTTGAATGGTCACTCCACACAAGCAAAGTACTAGCAAAGGAGGGGAAAAAAACTCCAGAGACATTCCTGAGACAGGAAGTCCAGTCCTGCCAAGAATGTAATAAGGGTTAACAGAGAGGCAATTTCTGTAAGCAACACCAGAACGTTTCGTTTCCTTCCTTCCTTCCTTACAGGATTAGGCCAGTAATTTCTTCTAACAACTGGTTCTCCGAACTGCTTAGAATGTTAACAACTGGTTCTAGCGAATAGGTGCGAACTGGTAGAATCCCACCCCTGCCATAGAGTAATATTTTTATAAAAATATTTTTAAATGGTACAGTAATTGCTTTTGCCAACAATACACTCCATGACTGACCTACTGCATGTTTTTATTTTTAAAGAATTTATAAACTGTTGCCATCCCAAAATCTAAATATCAATACTAATAGAAATTCCAACTCAGTTTCTAACAATGCCATAGGAACTTCTTTTGCTACTGGTAAAGAATAATGATGTGCTTCTAATCTTAGGATTAGAAGCAGATTGGTGTATGTCTAGGGAGGGACATGTTACAATTCTAGCTGTTCAACTTTTTCCCTGAACCAGCAGTTCCACTACAGGCAACAAAACAATTCTGTGGAAATGTTTGTTTTTTATTCATACCAGCCATTTCAATTTAAAGATATTAAATTAGCAATAAAATAATCAAAAATTAAAATTTAATAATATGATTAAGAATAAATCATAAGAAAAATTCACACATATAGACACAAATATCTTTGGTTTTACATTAACTACTAGCTTCAAGAAATCCAGAAGTGTCAAGTGCAAGAAATCAAGAGTCAGGCAGTATAAATAAATATAGATTGGTTGCCTGCTAAAGATTCTCTACAAGAATCTGAACTACTAGCAGTCAAAGCAAACTGGCAGAAGATAAGAGTCACGGAATTCAAGGTGGGCTGAGTTTAAATCTCTTATAGTGTGAAGGGGCTCGAGACTGGTGGTGCATTTGATCCCACCTTTGGACTCAGCCTGGGCATCTCCTATAGGAGAGGGGTTGTGATCCTCAACTTAGGGCAGCTATTCTCAAGGAGAATATTCCCAAGCTGCAAGAGAAAGACCAGATATCACTCCTTGATCATCCCGAAACTGGGGACTTTTTGCAAATGTTGTCATGCCATCGTGATTAGAAAAACTATGATTATTTAGAAGATTAATTAGAAAATGAGCTATAACCAACTTGTCATGGAAAAATCCAACGAAAGAAACAAAAGACAGCAACACAAGAAAACAATTCTTACTTTAAATGCAGAGATTTATTTTAGAGGTAATTTGGAACATAACACAATTTACATCAATATTCCATTGCAATGAGGTCCAATGACATAGCTGGTCCAGCAAGGATAACTATAGGTCAGTGGCCTGAGCTGATGTCAAGCTTGACTTTTTATACCTTTCTTCTAATGAACACACATAGATGGTCACTTTCCTGTCATATTTCATGAGTTACTTCCTTGTTCTTTCATGCTGACCACAAGTTTCTACATACACCGGTGTACATCTGAAACCTTCATCCATCTGTTACTTTCACTTCCTTATTCCTCACAATTTCCTCCTTCTAGTTCCAAATATACTTATGAAACTATCTACTTTGCAAAATCATATTGCACAAATTGCAACAGCTTAACAAATTACAAATAGTTCTTTTATATTATGAAATCCTAGCTGGAGACTTTGGTTCATGTTTTAATCCAAGGGCCTGCTATCAGCCATATAGGTCTTATTGATTCTAATAGATCAATAGGCTATATCAGTGGTGGTAAACCTTTTTCGGCTCCCGTGTCAAAAATTGCATGCATGCTCATGTGCCTCGCACTCACACCAGCACCCAAAAGGCAATGCGCACTGCCCCCATGCCCCTTCTGCATGCAGACATGATCCACATGTGCACCATGCATCTCTGCACATGTGTGTGTGATTCCTTCTCACCCCGCGCATCTCTGCGCATGCACATGTCTCTCCCGTGCACCCTCACCCTCCACGCATGCACCCCAGATACCCGACAATCAACTGTTGTGTGGCAGGAGTGTGTGCATGTACAGTGGGGCTCTTCTGGGCAACCTCTTGCATGCTGGCAGAAGTGGCTTTATATTTCAATTCAAAATCAAAATAAAAGGGAAGAATGATTATTGCAAATTGTTGAATTTAATTAAAAACTTCCAAAAATACTTTTAATCAAGTTGGCTAATTTCACGGTATATTTTAGATACTAAATGGTAGTTTTAAATAAGTTAATGCCTATGAATAGGCATGCCTACTGACAAACACGGTAATATTGATTAATATATTGTGGTGACACACACACACACACACACACACACACACACACAGACAAATACATATAATTTTGTTATTGTTCTGTGCTAATATAGAGAAATGCCCATAATCTGATATGAGTGCAAGTATTTCTTTTTTCAATATACTATATGATTTATTTTCTCTAGAAATCACATGCAATTCTCCAAAGATATCTAATGGTACTTTCCAACCTCAAAGAACTATGTACCATAATGGGGATCTAATTCGAGTTCAGTGTGACAGCGGATTTACACTTGAAACAGATAATGGAGGAAAGGTGGTTGAATGCACAAAGAATGGATGGTCACCTTCACCGAAATGTGTCAGTAAGTAGAATTTGCATACATTTCTATTATTGTAGAATGGCTGATATATTTAATTCTGTACAAGTATGCTTTTTTACATTATTTTAAATAATTTTCTAATTATTTTTGCCTAAGGGACATACAGTATCTCATTCAGAACATTTTAGCAGAGACAATAGGAGGATGTACTAGGATAGACATGATTGCATCAGCATTTCCATACATTCACCTTGAAAATATTCTTTCTAGATACAGTATGTGGGAAACATGCAGGCAACATGCTTTAGACAGCATGTAGAAAATCTGCTTGTCAAATGAAGAGGTATAACTAAAATTATTGGCAAATTAATTGGCAAATAAATAGACATGCCATAAAGAAGAAAACTCATATGGCCAGGGCTGCCCTCTGCACTTTATTTATTTATTTATTTATTTATTTATTTATTTATTTATTTATTTATTTATTTATTTATTTCAATTGTTTACAAGATAATAGGTATAAGTAAAAATATAGTTATGAATACATGGATACATATAAGAAAAATAAAAGAATAAAAGAAACAATAGGACAGGGACAGTAGGCACGTTGGTCCTGTGCCAGACTCGGCCATGGGCTCTCCCTTCCTCTCCAGCTCTGTGATCTTCCCTGAGTCTTCTCCATTCTCTTGAAGATGATTGAGTAGAAGGCTGGGGCTCAGGACTGCAGTGGAGTTGTTTCCTATTAAAAGTGTAAGAAAGTAGAGCTGGTTTAATATCAAGATTCTGAGTAAAGAACCCAACCAAGTCAGCATTTCAAGATTTTCAGCTTTCTCAAAGAACTGTTTTATTGATACATCATTTTGGCATAAATAAAAGTAAAACCACTTCTGACTGTTTCCTGCAATTCTTTCCAAGACCGTCTCAAAAGTGCTGTGAGAAATTTGGTCCAATATTTTGGTCATTTCTATTTCAGACTAAAATTGTGACTTCACTATTGACTCATTTCTATTTGAAGGTCTTTATATTTTATGATTTTTCTTAGTTCTTTCTCTTCTCTTCAGCCTCCAGGGATTGCCATGAGCACCAGCCGGAGTTCTTTGACTTTTGTATCAATAATTATTAAGTTTGGGGCAGTTGTGGGCTGCAAATTTTTTAACAACCAGTTCTCTGACTGGGTAAGCATGGTGGGTTGGTCATGTGACTGGGTGGGTGATGTCACTCATCACACCCAGCTCCGCCTCCTAGCCACTCACCTCAAAGGCAGAGCTAGTATTCAGCCAGTTGAGGTTAATCCTACCACTGGCCCTGCCTTGCCCATTTCTTGACCTGTTTTGGGCTGTTTTTAGGCAATTTTTGGACTGTTTTAGGCTGTTTTTCAGGCTGTTTTTGGCCTGAAAAATGCCCCCCAGATGGCCTGAAAATGGCCTAAAATGGCATGAAAAACAGCCTGAAATCAGCTCAAAAAAACAGCCAAAAAAGGGCTCCAAAACAGTTAAAAACAGGCCATTTGGGGACTGTTTTCAGCTATTTTTTATTGTTTGGAGCCAAAAACAGTCCACAAAATGGCCCAAAACTGGCCTGAAAACGACCCCAAAAACCCAGGCCAAAAACAGGTGCGGATGGGGCCAGCCAGTGGTGGGATTTGCCATTCGCCAAACTGTGCCTAATCTTAACTACCGGTTTCGCTAGAACCGGTGCAAACTGGCAGTAGCCCACCACTGGTTTGGGGTGTTATGTAGCAGGTCTTGTCTTTTTGAATTCTAAAGTCCCAGAGCAATTTAGCTTCTTCATTTTCTATTGCTTTCTCTATTGTGGTCCCATCACTTCTTGTGTGCAAGAAAATTGCATTTCTTGCAGAACTTCCAGTGCAACATTGTGGCTATTTTGTCATAACTTTGTTGTACTCAGTCTATGTAATCTTTTTGCAGCAGCTAACTAAGTAAACCACTATTTCTTCAGCTTTTTGCTATCTTCCAGTTTTGGCTTTGTATGCATGTGTTGTTGTTGCTGTTGCTGTTGCTGTTGTTATTGTTGTTGTTGTTGTTGTTGTTGTTGTTGTTGTTATTATTATTATTATTATTATTATTATCCATTGCAGTTATCCAGGTATTTAGACTGGATTTGGCTTTTTAATCTACCTATCAAGTCCTTGTTATTGTTGTTATTTTAGTAGTATACTAGCACTAGCTAAAGTATTACATTATTTAAATTTAATAAATATTTCGTTGACAGTGAACAATCCAACACTTTTTTGATGAACTGAACTGTTAGGTACCCATTCCTCAGGGGCAAGTTGGAAGTATTATTCTTCCTCTGCCAGATTTCTTCTAGGTTTAATACATCCTACCCACCTTCTTACCTTTAGGTAGGGGTGTCAAACTTGACTGCATTACATGACCTCTCGGGAGGTATCATGACATATTTTTTTTTTTTGCCTTTGTGGAGCTGGGGTGGGCATGGCCTGCACATTACATATCAGCCCATGGGCTGCCAGTTTGACAGGTCTCCCTTAAGGCAATTGCTTGATAGAAATTGCTGCAAACATCTATCTTCCAGGTGATATTGTTCTCTAGCATTTTCCCCATGTACTTGCAGAGAGTAAGAAAGTTTTCCTTGATAGAGATATGCAGAAGCCATTGCAAAACAGGCTGAAGTTAACATTTAGAACAATGAAATAAGCAGCAGCTCAAGCAGACATCACCTTTCTAATTTATTCAGCCATAAGAACAAGGAGGAATACAACATAATTAGACTTCAAAATATTGTTATTATGACCAATTTCAGTGAATATAGCATTAGGTTTCCTATGGAGTTCTTTCACCACAGAGCCTGGTGTCCTGGGTGAAAGTGAACTGCTCAGAAAGCAGTAATCTTGCAGGGCAAGACAATCCTCAGAGATGCTAGGCTCTAAGTGCTTGCAGGCTCCTGTGCATGCTCCCAGGGCTGCCAATCTCTCCCGTTCCCATCATCCCTTCCTGAGCACGGAGGAAGGAAGGAAGGAGATGGGAATGAGAATCAAGGAAAGAAGGAGGGGATGAAGGGAGGGAGGGAGGGATGGATGGAGGAAGAAAGGAAGAAAGAAAGGAAGGCAGGAGAGAGGAGCAACCTGGTTGGAGATAACCCAGTTCACAATTCTGCATCAATCCTGGATCCACTGAGAGTTGGACTCAAAGGAAAAAGCAATTTTGTCACGGACAGAACTTTATTGGCAATCAAAGTTAACATTGGTATTCTTGAATCGTGAGCTCTTATGAAAGTATCCCTTCCTTGTGTGTTGCAAACAGCCATTTCCAGTGGGGAAAACAGGACAAAACAGAATGGGGAAAATATTTTCCTCTGCTATATTTCCAATCTAAATTAGACTATGGCAGGGTCCCTATGGATTATGTATTAATAGAAAAGCAATTAACTTACCTCTGTTTCTTAATGCTATAGCTATTGTACATAAAAAACTTAAGAGTGCTGAACAATAAACACAGCCACCATTTTGACTGTTTTGCTGTATTGTTGTGTGTGGATGCTCTCACTAAATGCAAGCACAGGATAAACCGGTTCATTCTCAGTCTTTTAAGAGAACATAAACTACAAGCAAAAGTGGCATTTGATCACAAGGTGAGGAGGCATCAAGAAATGTTTCCCCTTTTGCATTTGAGCATCCAAGGAAGGACAGGATAGGAGAAAGGGAAAGTTGGAAAGACAAAGATAAAGAAAGAAAGAGGGGAAGGAAGAAGAAATTAGAATAAAGAGGGAAGGAAAAAGAAAAAGGAAGGAAGAATGGAAGGAAGGAAGGAGATTATAATGAGAGTGAGGGAGGGTCTCAGGGAAGTCCTGCCATAGCACTTGGCCACCACAGGTGCCCCTTGACGTGAGTCCTATGTCAAGTCCACCAGTGGCCATGCCCCACCCACCAGCCCTCCAAGGTCAAACACAACCGTGATGCAGCCCTCAATGAAATCAGGTTTGACACCCCTGTCCTAGAGTTGAATGACAATAGCAAGGCAATGTAGTAATCATTTTCTGCCTATTAGTTAAGCAAGCTATATGACATTGTTGTTTTTAAAAAATAAGAATTAGGCATTTTAGCATTTTGCAATGTAGTTCCTTATGAATATGCTTAAAACCTGTGAATGTGTCTTCTCAATCATCAGAATTGTTGATGGATTATTTATCTAATATAGATATTGAGGGAGGATGTGGACATCCACCTGCTGTGGACAATGCAGATATTGTGGAGTTACTCAAGGAAACCTACATCCAGTCTGAGAGTGTAACATATCAGTGCCAAAATCTCTACATAATGAAAGGATCTGCAAGAGTGACTTGTCAAAATGGCCATTGGTCAAAAGCACCAACATGTACAGGTACAAATAATATCTATAATTGTTTTCTTAAGTTTTCACGGGTACTTACATGTATGGTATTCAGCTTTGTTTGGGTATTTTCCCACATCATTATAGTTGTGCTTTTAAAGTTGTAGCAACGTTTCAGCAGAATCTCATCTGCCATCATCAGGCTTCTGTATTGTGTTCATCTGTGAGTCAGACTTTTACAGTTGTTTCAGTTTTAAATTTGGGGCTAGCCTACTGCTGTGCCAGAATGGTTTTTTCTTCATCCAGATTGGTTGGGAGTCTTGGTCTGTGTTTATTGGTCTTGGAGTTTACTGTGACCAATAGACCAAGACCAATAAACACAGACAAAGACTCCCAATCAATCAGGATGAAGAAAAAACCATTCTGGCACAGCAATAGGCTAGCCCCAAATTTAAAACTGAAACAACTGTAAAAGTCTGACTCACAGATGAACACAATACAGAAGCCTGATGATGGCAGATGAGATTCTGCCGAAACGTTGCTACAACTTTAAAAGCACAACTAGAATGACATGCGAAAATACCCGAACAAAGCTGAATATCATACAATATCTATAATTCTTTATAGATTGTCCTTTATAAACCAAAATTGTACTTTGGGAAAGAAATCAATTTCATGATGCCAGAGCTGCTATGTCGGTATGTTAATGAAGTGGGACAAAAAAAGAAGAAAAGGGAAAAAGGAAGGAAGGAAGGAAGCAGGAAGGAAGGGAGAGAGGGAAGGAAGGATATTATATGTATATAGAGAAAGTGAAGGTCTGAGAGAAATCGTGCCTAAGCACTTGGCCACCAGCAGCCCTGCTTCCTTTTGGCATTCCCTTGTCCCCTTCTCCTGACTTCTCCTGGTGGTCTCCCATCCTATCCCTGAGGATGCTTTAGTTACAAAGCTGGGTCTCCTCACAAAGAGAAGGAGTGGGCCTCCCTCTGACCCACCCACTTTGCCCTCCCACACACACAATGAGCAACCTGGCCAAGGAGAGCGAGCACAGCAGCAGTAGGAGCCAGGCATGACCACCCCAGCCACACCTACCCCAGCCCCCTGCAGTTAACCACGACCCTGATGTGACCCTCAATGAAATTGAGTTTGACACCTCTGTTCTACAGGCTTTGTGCCATTGATATTAGAAGGTAAGTTTCAAAGTAGCAATTTATAACAAGCTTCCCCTCCCAGAGGAGAGAATCACAATGAGTATACTACTGTCTCTATGAGGGTTGTCAAAAGCCACAAACTATTTAAGCATACTTGAAATCTATGTTGTCCAGAAACTGTCAATGGTGATTTATCCAAAGGTGATAATTATAAAATTAAACAGGGATTTGGGTTTTCTTAGTAATTTGGATACTAAAATGAACAAATGAACATTTAAAATAATGACCTTAAAGAAGCAAGGGGAAACAGTCAAATAAAAAATAAGTTATTAGGAGGTGGCCCAGCAGTTGAACCTTCCTAAATTGCTCCAGGATTCCCACTTAATCACCCCTGAATACAAAATCTGTAACCCAAGAGGAATTCACAGATCTTCTCTGAACTGAAGAATGTTCAAGTCAGGAGTTAACTTGTTATACTACTGACATTGTCATTCAGAAAAGGATACTCTGGGTTGTTGTTGGTTTTTTGGGGCTCTACCTATTAGATTTATATCCTGATTTAATATTCAAATGGCTTTTCATTCGGCTTTAAGCTGGGGTGGGATTCAATTTTTTTAGCAACCGGTTCTGTGGGTGTGGCTTAGTTGGTGGGTGTGGCTTGATTGTCATATGACTGGGTGGATGTGGCTTTGTGGTCATGTTATTGGCCAACTCAATATCACTCACATCAAGGCATGCATCTCTTCGCCTGGCCTCTCATGACTGTGGAGATGCTGCAACAGTCATAAGTGTGAAAAATGGCCATAAGTCACTTTTTTCAGTGCCACTGTAACTTTGAATGGTCACTCCACACAAGCAAAGTACCAGCAAAGGAGGGGAAAAAATCTCCAGAGACGTTCCTGAGACAGGAAGTCTAATTCCGCCAAGAATGTAATAAGGTTTAATGGAGAGGCAGTTTCTGTAAGCAACACCAGAATGTTTCCTTCCTTCCTTCCTTACAGGATTAGGCCAGTAATTTCTTCTAACATCTGGTTCTCTGAACTGCTTAGAATGTTAACAACCATTCTAGCAAATAGGTGCGAACTGGTAGAAACCCACCCCTGGCTTTAAGGCTTTTAAAAGATTTTCTAACATGTTTCTTCAAAAAAGAAGAAGTTTCCAGGGGTAGGATTCTACTGGTTCTGACCGGTTCTATAGAATCGGTAGTTATGATTCTGTGCAGTTCAGAGAACCGGTAAATTGTGTCCCTGGCTGGCCCCACCCCTCTCTGCCCTCCCTGCCCCTCCTGCCCACTCACCCTGCCCAGTCTCTCCTCATCTTGCCCGCCATTACTAATCTGCCTTCACCTACCATTGCTGCCTGCCTTTTGCCAAGGCCCTGATCTCCCTGGGTGAGTGAGCCTGCAGGCAAGCCCTGGTTGAGTCAACTCCCCAGCTAGCCTAGGCATTTTAGAAAGTTTTGGTGTAAGAGTAAGAACTTAGAGTGTATTCATACTGTAGGTCTGGTTTTAAGATTGTGATCATATAAAGTTGAAAGGTAATAATGATAATAAATAAAAAGTAGAATATCATAGCATTAAGTAGAAAGTTACTCTATAGATATTTGCTCTCTTGTAAAATATATGTTATCCTGCTGTAAACATATTTCCTTATGCATTTATTCATTGTTAAACATATGCCTGAAATCAATTGCATCCTCCTGTATAAAGTATGGTCCTGTTATCTACTGTAAATCCTTCATGAATCCTTCCATAAATAATCCTTCATGAATCCTTCCAGAAATGCCACCCCTATTTCCTCCAGGAATTGGCACGTAACTATATTTCCAACTGTCAGAACAATTCACACACACATCTTTGATCTATGGTGTTAACAAAAGACTGAAATGGTCAATTAGGAAGACAATAGAGAAAAGATAACACTGCCAGAAAAGAATCTGTCTGTTGCAAAAAGATGTAAATCTTAGATTATATGACTAGAGATTTACAAGGTAATTAGAGAACTAAGAACAATTTCTTAGAACTTTAACTTTGATTAAAGAGTAAAATTTGCTTTCTTTGATTTGCAAGCCTCTGTTTAAGACTTAGTTTTGGTTCATTTTTTGCTTAAGCATACTGCCAGGCTTACAAAGTGAATAATTCAAAATTAAAGGGTTTTTTTGATAAAATGCTGCCTCATCTCTTCATCTTGAATCTGGATATGGGATCTGTAGCAAAAAGAAGGTTGGGAAATACTGGAGGTTAAAGTCCATACAGTTAGTCCTCGATTTAACAACCATTCTTTTCACCCTCTGTTCCCACCTTCCAATAAGGCCAATAACTTTATTCTGGAAATTACATGTTCAGAAGGAAGCTGAATCCAGTAGGCCCCTTGAAATTAACAGAATTAACTTCTGTATATACAGGTAGTCATCAATTTACAACAGTTCATTTAGTGACCATTTGAAGTTACAATGGCACTGAAGTGACTGCTTTTCAATTTACAGTCATTGCAGCATCCTCATGGTCAAAATTCAGATGCTTGTCAACTGGTTCATATTTATGACAGTTGCAGTGTCCCGGGAACATGTGATCAACTTTTGCAACCTTCTGACATATTCACTTAACAACTATGTTATTAACTTAATAACTGTAGTGACTCACTTAACAACTGTGGCAAGAAAGGTTGTTAAATGGGGCAAAATTCACTTAGTACCAAAGGAGCAGCTCCTCGCATTGTGGCTGCTGCAATGAATATGAGAAGCCCAACATGGTTAACATCTCTAGCCCAATGACTTCTTTGTTAATACTCACCATGCCTGTCAATTTACCAACTCCAGTTACTGCACCAGTGAACATCACACATCCAGTCACTATCGACTCACTAATGAATCTCCCAACACCAATGACATTAGCTGGCCCTTTAAATATAGCCATGAGACCTGTGAAAAGCATGCCTTTCCTTCCCCAGACATTGCCAATCTCTCCCCCGTAGTAAAAAAAGAAAAACTTCATGTAGTATTAAAAAAAGAAAAGAAAAGGGGACTGCTGTGTATTGTTTAATGGATTGCTAAATTGGCAAAATGGACTGCTAAATTGGCCACACCCACCCAGTCACATGACCACCTAGCCACATGACCACCAAGTCACGCCCAGCCACTCACGTTACCACCAAACCATGCCCAGCCAGTCATGGAACCACCAAGCCACACCCACAAATTAAGCCACGCCCATAGAACCGGTTGTTAAAAAAATTGAATCGCACCCCTGGAAACTTCCTTTTTCCAGTCCTAGCCCATAGCTGTAGCCACTGCAAAGTACCATGAGAGGTTTCCTCAATGACTTGCAATTTTGGTGAAAAAAAGAAATAAAAAACAGATTAATCTCTAGCTCTGGATGGGATGGCCTTACAGACCTGGTGGTCCTTTTAGATACACAGTTCCTGCTTGAAGAGCAGGTGTGACTAGGAGAGCATTTGTACACCTAGGAAGACCTGCCTCATCATCACCCATGCGCTTGTAACCTTTTGCTTAGATTAATGCAACACACTCTATCCTTGAAGGATAAAAAAACCCATGTCTTAGAAACCTGCCTGCAGTATGCATTAAGCTGAATTTAAGCATTCTGTTCCAAGCTCTTTTGGAAATATTGCAGATCTCTTTAAGGAGATCTTTTCCTCCCTGTGTCTCTAGGAAGGCTTTTAGAAAAAGCTTTACAAACCTACCTTTTCCTTATTTTTCATTTAATCCTTCCATTAAATCTATATTCTACAGTCAGATGGTATAGTCATGAAAGTGCTGTCCAAAAAGCCAGGGGATTTTAAGTTCTACTCCCACTTAGGCATGAAAGTAACTGGGTGACTTTGGGCCAGTCACTTTCAGCCTTTCACAGAGTGGCTGTGGTGGGGAAAATAGGAACTAGAAGTATTAGCTATATTTACGAAAAGGTAGGGTGAAAGTATAATAAAAACAACAAGAATGATAATTGTTATGTCCTGAGGACTCAAGGAGTTCTCACTCAGGTCCACTCACT